TATAATCATACATTGTTTACCACTAGTTTCCCCTTTCAATTTTATCACACTAATTCGGTTATACTGCATTGTTTGTTAATTGTGTACAATTTTGATGCGTTTTTCAAGTGAACATATAAACATATATTGATGATAATTAATTTAACTGTGAATAACACGTGTTTAAATGTTGATTTGTATCCTGGTTTTTACTATTTACTAATAATATGACTTTGATCAGTCAATCACTCGGTTATATACAACTTTGAACCTGGTGCAAATAATCTACAACCTGTATCACCACCGTTTCATAATTTATATGACGGAGAAAACTAAGCATACAGAATATAATGTGTTCACTAGTGACTAGTTTTAGGAGGTAATTCCCTAAGTTTTGTTGAGAAACCGTGACCGTTGGGGCTCAACCATACCGGTTATGAGACAGTTGGCACATAGAGTCAGTTTCTCAATATTTCGAGATGATTGAGATTAAGCAAGTAAACAATTGGATGCCAGCTTAGTTATCCAAAGACTAAGCACTCACTCTAAGACGTGCAGGTCCTAAGTTTAGTCTCAGTAAGGTCGTAGATGTGCTCCTTTGAGGAGTTTCATACTACTACGAAACGGCTGTTCAGTACTCCCTGCTTTTCAATAGTCATTTAACTAAAATCAGTCGGCAATGTAAACTATGAAACATGGAATATAATCAGAAAATAACCAATAACATTAAGTAATAAGAAGTACAATTCGACAATGATAATAATAATAATAATAATATCACTAATAATATTTTTTCTGTTTCCTCCTTTCCATCCCACTTTTTACATGTTATTAGACTCAATAGTAAGGTTTTATTTGAATATGACTGTTCGATTGCCTAATGAATATCTCACTGATCAGTCAGTAAATAAAGTAAGTGTGTTTCTAGTGGTGTATTCGTTTTATTCTCAGTGATGATTTTTTACGATTCATTAAACAAGATATAACATTGTATTTTGTCATGAATTAATTCCACAGATTACTGGACAAGGTGTTATACGCTTTTTAATGACCCTTTCTTAATTCTGCACACTATTTCGCATAGGACAGTAGTACACAGCACATTTATCACAAAATATGATAGTTTCAGACTCTTAGTTTAAATACAATGGTTGAGATTTTCAAATCCATTCATTTAGTAATATTATGAGATAAATTGTCTCACTTCCAGCTTGAGACCGTGTAGTTTTTTCATATTCATTTGATTAATTTTGATAGTCAACTAAATTTCTATTCTTTACTAATCTTTCATTTCAGTTCTATTGAGTTGCGAATATATATAATTCGCTGAGAATAACTGAAATCTCTATCTCATCTCTTAATAAGTAATAGTTGACAATAAGAGTAAATTAAAATACTCGTCCTATCCGGAAACTTTTACAGTCACATCAGTAATATTTAAACTGAATATATTTGTTATTTAAGCGTGCAAGTGTATAAATTACTTTAATCTACATTATTATAGTACATTTATATTGATTAATCAACCAATTAACTGGACGTTTCATTGCAATACTTGAACAGTTTAAAACTAATATGCTACTGACATGTTGCACTAAGCTACCGCTTTTACTAGAAAGTAGTTACATAAGGGCTTTTTTGTCTTGGATTATGCAGCTCTCAGTTATTATCAATAGGTTAGTAGTATCTCTTGTTATTTTATGCTTTTGAAGAGTCTTGTAGATATTGTTTTACACTGTAATTTTTACTCGTCACAGTTTCATCTCATTAGAAGTATCACCAAAAACCATAGAGCACTTGACAGTTGTTTCATCCTAGTGTAAAACTCTACAGTTGTATGTACTCATGACTCCACTAGGAATCGAAATCACAATCTTCGGGCCTTACAGTGAACCCTTAATTATTAAAACTTCTGGACCAACGCTCAGTTTTATAATTCAGCTTTAATTTGTTATATAACTCGACGATATTCCGATCCCACTGATGACAATTGTTTCACCAAGGTGCTCCCTGATTTTCAATAGTACCCTATACGATATTTAGATTGAACTAAACACTATTAAGTCAACATCTCTGTAAAAACGGAGAGCTGTTAAAACTCTTTTGAGAAAATTATGCCGTTAAAACAGATTAAATAATTGGTTAATAAAAAACATGAACCATGAGTTTAGAAAAGATATTCTTGATTACCTAGCTCAAAATTGTCTGTAGTGGTCTATTCAAATGACCTTTAACTCAGTGGATCTTTATATAACTTACCAACAGATCACCCTTTTATATTATCTCAAAAAGGAGGATACGTTTCCCACTACTTGCTGATTCAATGTGCATATATATATATAATCAATAAGTTTCTAAAATGTCATATCGATGTCTTCTTTTACATTCTCACTTAGATAATACCATCTGCTTTGTTCGCCACCACATCATCTAATGTTCACTGTCAATTAGCTGGTTTGAAGTTTATATCAATAATCTTCAGTGATAATTTGACAAAAAACCTTGAATTACGCAAGATTATCTCAGAAAATCAAGCTGATGATCTATTGGAGAAATTGCCAAAACTAGTCCATTTCTCCAATAGTGACCAGGTTTGTTCTAGTTGTCTTTCTTTACTAATTTTCTTTATCCGTTTATTACCTTGTTGCAGATGAGACGAGTTTCAACAGGACATTTTTAGCTGTCGTTTGAATGAGACTAGTTTGATTTCATTAGAAAAATTAGCTTTTTTGTGATAGTCCAATCACATAGTATGTATGTGTGACCATTTTAGTTACCTTCTAACCACCAGAGGGAAAGTCCATTCTATAATTCTTCGTATTTATAAAACAAAGCCTTCAAAGACTGGTAATATACGTACGCTGTAAGTATTCGCTCATTGATGCCTTCAAACCATCGCGTACGTATTAATAAAACCACTTAACATATAACTTTGAGGTTATTTGTACGGTTTCAAGTGAAGAAGCCATAAATCGTTAATATTTTGAACATTTGTGAGTGTTGTTTTTCTTTTCTTGTGAATATTTCTATTTGATTAAATGATGTTAGTTCATAAGATGACAACTACCCCAGTATACTAATTTATGACTTCACAGCAATAAATATCACATTGTCCAACCCTCCTTATTGAATAAATTCTGTCAATCAACTTTGTCCAGTATTCGAGTCTGATACGGATACACAAAACTTCTTATATGCGAGACCCTATTGCCTACTTAGTGAGAAGACTAAGAGTAAAGTTAATTTATTGGTGTAAACGGAATCATATATATATATATATATATATATATATATATATATATATATATATAAATTAGGAAACGAAACAATCTCCTGGCCAATAACGTGTGCTTGTCATCAGGAAAATTCTGATTGATACTGTTTCAAATATACCAGGTAATCACTAGTCTTCGCCAATACATTTCGTTTCAACGCTAAATCCTTGGAAGCAGTCAGTCTGTAAAACACTATACTAACTGCCCATTGATAATAACACTACTTGTGATACTAAACAAGTATTTACATTTCTCGAGCATTCTATATGATATGATTTTATTGGCGCATATCAAAAAGATTAATACCTGAAGTTTAGCAAGGATTAGTGTTCGTTTCTAACCAATCAAAGTTAACTGTAAGTTCTTTTCAATCACTTCACCTTATTCTGATACATTTGTTTATCACTACTTACTGAAGCTTTCCTCTTGACTTAATATTTATTCAAGGATACTGTAATGTTTGGTCAGGAAAATGAACAAAATATCAATATTTTAACTTGTTCACGTTTAATTATCGCTCGTTGTCTGTGCAGCATTATAAAATTATTTCCGGAACAATTGATTAATCGTCATCGTGATGTAAATATTCTACCATTGTTAGATCAATTAGTTGATGATCCCAATCGATATGTACGTATTGAAGCAGTTCAAGCAAGAAATTTATGGTTGATCTGATTATTTGATTTAATTATTGAATTACTGATAAATTATAAAATCCTAACACGATGTATATGGTTACTTGATAAATTACATCAATGTATATAGAAATATATTCATTTATATTTTTCAGATATTTAGTTTTCTAAACTGTTCTGTTACTTTAATTTGAAGTATATATATATATATATATAGTTCAGAGATGTAGATGGTTGACTTACAACAATCAACTTCCACTGTTTTTAACCAACTGTATTTAACTCAAATATTGAATAATATTGTAACTATGCTCTACTCACGCTCGATACTATTAAACTTTGGATTTATTGGGGTCTACAGTAATTCCTAGTAATGAATGATTGGAATTCTTCTAATGCGAACTCCATAACCTGGATGACTGACCTGTATCAATTGGATGTATATTAATAGTTATTACTGTAAACTATGAATTGAATAGCGTCATTAAGAACATGAAGACAGTAGATAATGATTTATTTGACATTTAAAATAAATCAAAATGAATATGTAAATACATTAATTTTTATGGGATTTACATTGATTGACAGTCAGATATGTACACATTAAACTGAATAGTAGTTGACATTAATTAATCATGTGAATACATATTGACAAAATTATAATTTCAATCCTCTATAAGCGATAGATACAAACGACTTACTAATTTATATAATTAAACCTTCTTAGGATGATTGAAAATAATTAGTTTCGTATATCACTTACAATTTGACCAGTCAAGTCATTGCTCATCATATCTTGGTACACTATACTTCAACAATAATTCTCAACACGATAGAAAATAGGAGTTGGCCAGTTCACGAGAAGCATGATATTCAGCAAGACAAATTTGAAGTAAAACAACTGGATACATGTAGTAATAATGATACATGACCATGAGACGTAATGGAATTAGCAAACTGGAACTGAATAGAGTCAATCTATTGACAGCGTAGGTCGTTGTATAAAATATAAATCAGAAAAGTGTTGTTAATGCAGAAAAGAACTAACATTTATTTACAGCAAAAACCTGAGTTATCTGTAGACCTCAGCATGTACAAATAATATTTAATTCTTTATTTTGGTTCCACCTTTTTTATTTGTGATGTTTTGACATTCTTATCAATTAAAATAATGTTAACAACTTGGCTTTTTTGCTATCAATAATTTGATATAATGGTTACTATAATATGAAATTTAGTATTAGTCAAGTGAACTTAATGAGTTATTGATAATTACATAAGTCCGAGAAACTTAATTGTCACATTACTTACTTACGCCTGTTACCCCTCATGGATGAGCTCAGACCGCCCACCAGCAGTCTTCAACCAACTCTGTCCTGGACAATCCTTTCCAGATGCTATTCATTCTTTTGATTTCTTCTTCGAATCCCCGACACAATATGTTCCTTGGCGTTTCTCTTCCGTTTCCCTTCAGGATCCCAGGTTAGCGCTTGTTTCGTGATGCAGTTGGGTGATTTCCACAATATGTATCCTATCCACTTCCAACGTCTCTATCAGTTTCCTCCTGAGCTGGAAGCTGATTTCTCTCCCACAGTAGGCTGTTAGTGATGGTATCTGGCAATCGGATATTGAGTGTCTTGGGTAGACATCTGTTTGTAAATAGTTGTACATTTTTTGATGGTTGTGGTAGTTTTCCAAGTTTCAGCTCCATACAGTAAAACTGTTTAGACGTTCGTACTGAAGATTCTGATTTTGATATTGTTTGACAGTTGTTTTTGGTTTCATATGTTCTCCAACTGTAGGAATGCTGCCCTTATTTTGCCAATCCTTGCCTCTCCTATGTTCATCGATTATGATGACCAGGTACGAGAAAGTTCCTACCTCTTCCAGAGTTTCTCCATCAAGTGTGATTGGATTGATGTTCCCCTTGTACTTCGGGATCTTGCATTGTCACATTACAATATTAAAAATTAATCATGTCAGTGTGGTAATTTCGTCATCTATGTACTCACAAATAAATTTCCATTCGACTATGAACAAGTTTTTTACATCTTATTAAATATTTTCAATTGGAAAATGTATTCAATACTTAGCTAAATCCCTTTTAAAGCCAATTACAACCATTTCTTCGGTAAATAACTATACCTTTCTCTGGAATCGTAGGAGAATATTGAGTTTTACTACTTTTGTTTCAGTGATGGGATGACCACTTATCTATCGTCTGGTCCATATTATCAGTATAGGTATGCACCTCTTGTGTAATATGTTTCGAAATTCGTTTTCTAAGCATTACCGGTTTATGCACTTGGCTTTGAGTCATATTATTGATGTGTGTTGGTAATACTATTAAGAAATTACCCACTGGCTTGTACTAAATACACTATACACGATATGTTGTGAAGTATTTGCATAAGGGGCAAAGCACTCCGCTGTTTACTCGTAAATCGGTAATCTTCAGCCCCTTCCATCCACGTCCGATTGGCTGTCCTGGGAAGACATTGAAACACGACACAACTAACGGGGCGCAATACCCATTTTCGCTCTTTGTGCCTTTGGGTTTCCTTTCAGCCTGGACGCTGTAGGCCACATGATTGATTATGGCTTCTTAAAGCAGGTAATGTCTTTTTGCATCTTTTGTACGAGTATTTATGCAATTATATAATTTTGCATGTTTCTGGAGTTACTGTTGGCTCAACGTCCCATTCGTGTTCAATGTGACGTTTTTGATTAAGCTGTTTAGGTCATCTATTTTGTGTTTTAACGAAATATTCAGTAGGGGATTTATATTCCCGTGAATTTTTCTTTTAGATCTAAAATGTGATCATTTCTGTGGTGTCGCTTTTTTACAGTTGCAAACATTCTACTTCAACTGATATCGGGAAATTTATATGGGAGATTTCCTATTCCTTTTATTTTTTGTTTATTTTACTAGCAGTGGGTGTATGCACGTGGTCATGTGAGAACGTTTCGAGAGAGAGAACTGACTCCCCACCCTCGGCCGTACCAGGTCATTTGAGGGCAACTATGCTGGACTCCATCATCTTGACTTTCTTGCCCAGAATTAGTCGAGGGCATGTTTTTGTAGCAATTTCAGCTTTATGATTTCATTATCGGGTATGTATAGGGCCAGAGGTGATTTCAAGGTCAGGGAAAATTCGAGGAAAGACATCGAAGTTAATAGTAAAATCTGATAATCGTGCAATCAGGTTTAAGAAAAGTAAGGTGTTATTTTCTTAGATATTTCCATAGAAATCGATCAGTCAACGTTTTTCGCTGATTTCGTGTGACTTCACTGAAAAATTATTTGGAATCGCTGGAAATTCCACGTATCCTCTCCCCTTTTGTCTATTATTGACTATTATATAACCAAATTTCATCGCTACTGTATTATTTATAACAATCCGTATGAATAATAAGTGTGTAACCAACCAGTGCGGAAAAACAAACAAATAAGTAAACAAACGTTTCAGTATATTTACTTTCTCAAAGATGAAAGCACTGAAAAATTAATTTAATAATTTTGTGAAGAAGTCTGATAGGAAAATTGGGTCATGGGCTTATGATAATAATAGTAAATACGAATAATAACAGTTTATATACTTCAAAATACAAAAAAGGTAACTTCTCAGATTTATTTACGATGTACGTGTCTGCTTTGCGATGAGTAGACAAATAACGAGCCAAGAAAGTAAAGGAATACTTGAATTCACTTTTGGAGAGAAAAGAAAATCAGGAAGACAGTGTCTATTCAAGGCACAAACATTTATGTTTCAAACGATTCTGGTTTTTGGCTAAACTTCAGTTTTTTACGAATAGCAATTAGTTAATTCGAATAGAGATCAAAATTATTCAGACAATAACGATGACGAAATTGTAAGTATTGTGAACACAGTTGAAGAAAGTAATGTAAAGAGAAGTTGAATATTTAGTATCCGTATACTACAACATATTGGTATATGTGCGTTTATTTGTATATTGTACACGCGGAACCGAATACGATTGTCATTTTTATCCACAATTGTCCATCTTAGGTAGTAACACTATTCACGATGTTAATGATATCATGAAATCTGCAGGTAGATGATTATGGTGAATACATATGTTTTAAATACGAACATGATAAACTCTGTTATTTTCCAGTCGCTGTTGTTGTTATAGAATCAGTGTCACATGTAAACGTGATACAACATTCTCGTCACCCCTAGTTTGAATTTCTTAATCGTTAATACATACAATCACCAAGATTAAAAGTATACACATATTCAAAATCTTAGGGAACAGAAAACGATAGAGAATCGAAGACGACAATCTGATCACTAACATCGAATGTAAAAAGTTTTAAATTAACAGAACTGAAAGAATTTGTTGGCAATCTTAAATCAACGTTGAAGAGATTAAATTCTCCTTAAAAATGAAGGTGTTATCACAGACACATAGAAAAAATTACAATAAGATATATAGGACTGTGGAGACTAAAATATCTTAAAGAAATTGAGCATGCTATGAAGCCAACCGAAAACGATAGTCAATAAAAAAAGGACAATTAAGAGCTGGATGTGGAGAACATATTAAACGATGGAAAAAGTGAATGTATATGCCTTTTTTGTACAAAATGAGAAAAACTTAAATGGAACATCCCCCCTCAATTGTACACAAATATTTACTGGTCACTCGGTTATTAAAAATTATTTGCTGACTGATAAGGTCGGGTAGAAATTCAATTGATGTGGTGATATATCCCAACTTCCCATAGAAATGCTGGTTTGTTTTTGTTTTTTATCAATTCCAATTCCCAAACTTTAACTCATAAGTGTAGACGACCTGAGGAATAGGAAAAGTTAAACATTTAATATTTTTATATGTGAAAATTATATTTGAAATAAAAAATAAACTAGTTTAAGGACAAAATTTATGTGAATTAACATGACAACTATCAGGAGAAAAATAGTTTAGAATCTGTACCTCATCACTGAAAGAAACATCATAAATGGATTATAAATACCTTTTCCTTATGAAACTCAACAAATACAAATCACAGAATAGAGTGAATTGTCCTGAAAAACAACATAAAATCAAAATAACGATTCTCTGCTTTAATTTATTACGTTAGTAAAGCAAAATATTCTTCGAAAAAGTCCAGAGGGGTCGTAAAGACGCTGGGAAGCATTTTATCCAATCAGCGTTGAATAAAAGTGTCTCGGAAAAATCCAGAATGCAGAGAAACGTGTCGCATTTCTGATTGTATGACTACCTATCCTGCTACTATGCTTTGCATGTCTCCAGAAGCCCAAGGCTATCTGAAACACTATAAACACGCTTAATTTTCTGTATATTAACTAACCTTGGAGTAAAGCGTTCTCTTCACGCTTTGTGCTTTTTCTCCCATGTTCAGGTTGCCATCTAGATTTAGCCTGCGGTTATTACAAAAACTAAGGAAACCGATTTTAGCGTTCAGTTAGACTTATCAGAATGTTGAAACAGTTACATGGATCAAAAAAAGAAATGTCTAAGGATTGATGAACTCAGAAATATTTCAAATCTCACATAAAGATGTAATCAAGTTGATGAATCTCAAAACAACCGTCGTGAATAATTGTTTTTCTATCTAAGTAACTATTTTTTTTAAGCAAAAAATAATAACAGGCAAACAAATTCTGATTAACCCAAATATTCAACGTAAGACTCACTCACTCACTCCCCAGCTCCAACAGTTGACTCCAATTTGATCAATTCACTATTACCGATAGACTCAAGTTTATTAGCCAATCCACATGATCCAACATTATCTTTTCGATTGATTTTATCATTTTTATTTACTAATGAAATAACAGTTGAAGTGGGAGAAGTTACATTGTTACTATCGTTGTTTTTCTGTTGTTGATTACTCCCAGTTCCTTCATCACCTACAGCTCCACCTTGTTCCTCTTCTTCATCCTCCTCCTCGTCATCGTCTTCATCATCATCAACTCCATCATCTGGATTACCACCACCTTCAACATTGACTAACATTTCATAGGTTTCAGCTGCATAACGATCCCAGTCAGATAGTTCATTGAGTCCTTCTTCAATATCCTGTTATGATTTTAAAAAAAGATCCATCTTTTTAGTTAAAATCAGTAAATATTAACATTTATGCATCATCCTTAAAGAAAAATAATTAATAATTGTTTCTTCCATCACAACAAAATGTAATAATTCTATCATATATATAACTGTTATGGATTATAGCATAGTGGAAAAGTCAGACTAACTTGTTTCTCATTTATTTTCGTAAACATCTGAAAATAAAAATATATTCTGGCTTATATTTTATGAAAGTATAATCATCACTAATGATATACTACAACTACTGCCACTACTATGATGTCCTAGTTAACTGATTTAAACCACTAATTGAAAAAAACTATTGAAGTGACATAAATATTAGAAAGTTTGTCTTTGTTATTGTTCATCTTCTAGAAATGGATTATATATTAGAGTTTTATTTTGAATTCAGATTATAAAACCATGATTCTTGATTTCACAAAATCAATTCATTTACAATGTACAGAGATTTGTTTGATTGGCTTTGAGTCATACTCTAATATGAGTATTAGTGATACTATACGTTTGTTAAAACTAAACTAAAGAGGAGAGGAGTTCGAATCTATGATTAAGTAATATAACGCTAAACAACTTGAATAACACAGATATCATTTGAAGGAATGATTTAACCTACTTCAAATCAGTCTAATAGTAAAAGCTATATAAAAATCTTGTAAATTAAAATTAGATGATTACAAAATTCTTAGTCTTAGACTAAAATGACGCAACGCAGTGATAAACCTAACAATCAATGGTGACATTGAACGTGGCACGACGAGAGTGGATCGATCACATTTGTCACACTTTACATCATCAATAGCATATTGAGAAAAAAATGCTAGGATAAAAAGTAAACAATTACGAAACCACAAAATCAGTGGTAGTGAACAAAACCAAACACATAGGATATCGTTTGAAAATAATTGACACATCCATAACTTTATAAAAAAATAATAAACGGTTTCGAACTATGCTGCGTAAGGTGTTGAACTACTGATAAAAACTACACAATAGCTCGATACTAAAATTGACTTATACCTTTCTTTCTACTAACTAATTCTCTCTTCCTGTATTATATCCTTATATGCAATCAATTTTATGTATTACTACCATTGAAGTAACTGCTTCTATGAATTTGGTGTTCATCTTGTTGTGCTAATAAGGTATGGCAACTTGGACTGATGCATATATGTGCCTGATCCTATGTTGTAGCTGGCTGACTGACTAACTAAACATTTGTGTCATCTGAATTAAACTCATTGTTTTACAATAATGGAATTTCAGGAACAATCATTTGGAAAACTAATTACATAAGATTTTAGTAAAACTTACACGTAAATTAGCAAATGGATCACGTTGTTCATGTTGTAAATATTTTGGTAAATTAAAGAATGTATCAAAAAATATATGACATAGACGACATTGTTTCATATCTGATAGTCGAATTTTATCTGTAAGTGCTGGTTTCACCATATCCAAACATTGACATAAACAATCTTCAAATGATATAGGTTCAATCCCCATTTCTTCCATTCGAGCTAATTGTTCCGAGTAGAAATATTCTAATTCATACATTGACAACAGACCATCACCGTCTAGATCCATACATCGAAACCAATATTCAATACTAAAAAAAAGATATACGAAATGTTAACAGAACAAGGTATTTTTTGTTAGCCAATTACGAGGAAATTCTAATAGTTACCTTCTTTTTGAAATATGTTCAGATGACATTGTCTAGAAAGACAAATAAACCTTCATAACTAAACCAATCAGCTCAAAGAACACAGCACTTCTAAAAAAGTACTAAGATAAATGTTCTGAGACATCCCACTATCATAGCACTAACTATTTTTTAGAAGGTGCAACAAATTCAAACCAGAGATCTTGAAAACTCCTTCATATATATATAAGTTTCCAAGCCCGAAATCCTACTGATACGTTTTTTCCTCTTTATGGGATAATTATGAAAATAAATTTCTTTCAGATTCACTGCCTTCATTTGGACTTGAAAAGTGGAAGACTGTAGAAGTTATTTATTTACTTATAATAATAATAATAATAATAATAATAATAATAATAATAATAATAATAATAATAATAATAATAATAATAATAATAATAATAATAATAATAATAATAATAATAATAATTTATCTATAATATTAAGAAAGCAATCAATTTGTTTTATAAAACATGAACTGGAGAAATACTTGATGTATAGTTAGGCATAATATAAGTGATTACCTCCGAGGATGATGTTTATCTTCTTCAGCCAATAGAAACCAAACAAAATCTGGATAAGTCATAACACCTTCTTTAAAAGCTGTTCCTCTGAAAAAAAGAATACGATCGTATAGAGAAAAATCTTGTTGAAAATACAATTAAATTTTAGTATTATAAATCATATTGAGAAAAATAATACATATATTGCTTTAATAAATGAAAAGCACATACATACTTTGATAATGGTAAAATATCAGTTGAATAAATGGAACAGTAGCTTGTTGTTTACTGCATTGAAGCTCTTAATAACTAAACCATGTAATGTGAATCGAATTTCGGTCAATGTCTTATCGGCTATCAGAGTTCTTCTACCCTTTAAATATCTTAAATGACTGAAATATTGGTGTGGGAGGATTTATGGGAAAATGCATCTAAAGACATATATATTTAAGACACAATACAAAACTTACAAATCATGGGATTAAATAAGTGAGTTTATTTTGAGATTCCATGGGCTATTATTGAAACATTTTATTCTGAGATAATGTATAATATTTGAAGCTTAAATGGATAAATTTGGTGTTATTGAGTTTTATCATTGTTTAAACACATAAATATTGGTACAAGAAGGCAGCAAATAGATATGCGACGCATAAATCATTCAATTTGTGTGAGGGCTGAGATACTGGCCGAGTGGTTTTCTTAAGGGGTTACACCCGGGCCATTCGACCTGAAGGTCTGATCCACAAGCCATTGGAACAACGTCAGATGTATTCTCATGGTAGCCGGTGACCAACGATTGGTTAATACGCCAATTGTTCCCTCAGGATTCTTGAGCCCATGTGCACCACTGGTTTGGAATCAGGTTTTTCCAACTTTAATAGGTAGATCCGTATCTACCAATCCGTTTAGAGCGCCGAGCATTCGCTTTTTGTCCTCTCGATTTCGTAAACAACAGCCCCACTGCGAGAAGGTAGCGAGTAGGACTTCTATGGTAGTGGTTGTATGCACGTGGTCAGGTGAGAACATTTCGAGAGGGAGAGCTGACTCCCCCAACTGTTGCCCGTATCAGGGCATTCGGGGGCCTTAATCTAGATGGTTTAACTGTGGAGCATTCATTGTCGTTTCGGACGACATCCCCAACGTCTACTTCATATAAAGTTAGGTTTCTTAATTATTTCAAAAGTATCAAATTAATTCCTTTTATTGATCTTGTTTGAGATTGATTATCTTCACAGGTATTGTGATTTTCATTTGTCTTCTTGTAGATTTTGTTCTATTGTAAATTGCATTGATTTTCAGTAAGGACAACTATTACGCATATCCGTAGCAATTCAAACAACAAATCAAGTACTTTTATCACTTTTGTATATTATATGCATTTTTGTTTTACTATGCACAACACGGTACAAGTGATGAACTGAAAGAAGTATTGATGCAGAAAATAATCCACAGATATTAAAATAATGTCTGTTAAACCATCCTTATTGGTTTAATTACATTAATTGTCATTAGAAGACACTAATACATATGGAATGCTTAAAAAATTAGATTAAAGTATTTGTGACTAACTGTTAAGTCAAGAAATAGTATGTTGGAACCATCAGTGAGAAAAGATGAAATTACAACAAGCCAAATGACATTAAAAAGGGAAGGGCCAATAATCACTAGTTTTCCAATCAAAATAACAAAAAACAGACTATATATATATATATATATATATATATAGAGAGAGAGAGAGAGAGAGAGAGAGAGGGCGCGAAACGCGTACAAATACTTTCATACAAGAAGGTAGATGTATTAAAGGAAAATAATTGTACAATTTTCACTAGTTATAGAAATACGTTACATATTTATGACTATCAATAAATGAATTTTACCATAATGATGATTATAATAAACGAAAAAGAATAAATCGATTCATTAGTTCGACTTTACATCAGTCTATGGTCATATCAGTAAATGAATTTACTCAATGAATAATCCTCTGTGTATGATAAAATGGATATCTATGACTAACTGATGCTGTGTTAGTAAAGTTAAGAAAAAAAGTTCAATATATTTGAACATTATTGGGTCAATTTTATGACTAAGATCATTTCAGTATTTTATTAGAAAATAAATTGAAACATTATAGCAGGATTAAGTTTAATGACATTAACGACTTTCAGTTCGAATCATTTAGTGAGATGTACACTTCTTGAGAAAAGTACTCAATAGGTAACAGAAATCACTGGTTGGGATTCTTGTATTGATTTTGAAATCTCTCAAGATTTACTACTTTCGTGTTGCTTTTTCAAATGTGACAGTTTGAACACATCCAATACTTGAAGTTCATTAGTTTGATTATACATGGAATATTATCAGAATGGATGTTTGTGGAGATTGTAGCAATTTAATAGTTGAATTCATGAGTCGATTCAAGCTACATCACGATTGATAACCTGGAAGCACTAGACGGTCGTTTCGTCCTAATATGGGACTCGTCAGAAGTGTGCATCCATGATCCCACAAGAGAGACTTGAACCCAGGTCCTTCTGTCTCGCGCGAGAATGCTTCACCTCTAGACCACTGATCCGATATTCACCAGTGTTATTGTCTAACTTCAAGCAATCCAGGATATTGCGCCATCGTTCACCTTTGTCTTCAGTGAGTAACTGCCTCACAATAGATACGGTTAAACTCCGATGGTCACGACTTCTCACTATAACTCCAGGAAAAACCCCTTGAAGCCAGTCACTAGTGAGCATATAACGATCGTGGATGTGCACTAGTGAGGAGTCCCATAGTAAAACGAAACGATCGTCCAGTGCCTCCAGGTTTTCCATGGTGGTCTAGCTTTAATCGACTCATGGATACAACCATACATGGAATAGTCACGGACACACCGAGTCAAGTAATAGGATTTGAATAAAAATAGCCGATCAATCTGTTCCTTAGTTTTCGATAATTTCCCAGTTCATGATGAAAAACACGTCAAATCGAAAAAATGTGAACACCAGCTATCTAAATGATAAACATTTGGTCACAAACGGTTTTTTAATAAAATAATCCATAAAAGTCTAGTGAAACACCGTGATCGGCATACTCCAATCATCATAGCACTAAGTCATTGACATGATACCACTGCAAATTAACTCCATTAGAAAACGCGAATTCTAAAAACCCATTTTCCTTTAGAAAAAATTTACATTGGTATCTCGATAACTATCTATCTTTACTTACTTCCACCAATACGTACACACAGATAAACAGATATAACCAAAGTACAAAAAAGACAGATATTCTTTGAATCAATTTCGTCTACTAAATTGAAATAATCCTAGAAGTGAAAAAGAAAACTTGCAATTCATATCTGAAGTTTACTTCGATTCATATCAATTATTGATACAAAGTCATGTAATCCCAATCGGATATGCAATGGGAAAACAATAGCAAAAAAGAGAATATATATATCTTATTGCTAAATTTAGAAAATGAAAATTCTTTCATGTAATAATTATACTGAATAATGACTAGAAAGTGGAATTTTTCAACAGAGGAAGAAAGAAATAAACTATGAGATAAAAAACATATGTGTATAGGGGTAGGGAACACAGATATTAGGCTATTGTATTGTGTTTTAGTATGTACCCCCCTCCCCACTCGGTTTTGATCACATTGCTCCTGCTCATCAGAATATGACAAGAATAGGTAGAGGAATTGACAAATGCAAGCTACTACTACTTACATAGAATAATAATAATAATAAACGTATTCGTAATAATTTATTTTCCCTTTCAAAATATCTCACCTTGTTACAGCTCCACTAAATATTCGGTCTATCATACGTTCTGAGATAGCTGTAAAAATATGTATATGTAAATGCATTGAAAGGTAACAAGTAAATGACTAAACATGGAAATAAACAAAGTGGAAACTTATCCAAATAAAATAGTCGTTTATGTAAAAAAGAAAGAAAACAAACCAGATATACAAACATTACTATGCATTTAGATCTTATTTCAACAACTTGATCAGTATTCGGATGTCTAGAGCCAAATGGAATTCAAAAGATTCATTGAAAAATAGGTAACACATATAATGTTGATTAGGATTGATGTTACTTGACTTTCAGCTGGGAATCATATTCTTTCGGAGGTATACAAGCTAGCAGAACCGTGGTTTAGTGGGTTTTGGTGTTCAATTTTCAGCCGCTAAGTCCTGAGTTCGAACGGCAACGCGGCTACTTCGGTTTAGTCAACATGATAGTGTCATACATGAAGTGTGGTGGCTCATAATCAATTACCGGGTGAATTAATTAATCTATCATGAATTAGTCACCATAAGTAAATCGAGTGTATTGAAAATCAGACCATTATAATTTAAGTTATTGATATTTTTATAAAGAAAAACGATAAACACATACCAAATTATTATCACCGAAAAATATCTAAACAAATTATGGAAAATTAAACACGAGTTGAAATTAAAAGTATAACACTAGTAGAGAGAGATATCCATGAACATTACTACGCTTGTTATTAGTGGAACAGCAAAAGACCAATAAAAATACACAGGTTAATTGATAAGTTACCATTATATATATATATATATATATATATATATATATATATATGGTACAGTTGAATTTAAATCATACAGTTTAAGCGTGAAGGCTATTCATAGTATTTAATGAATGAGTGACATCATATGACTCACAGTTCCCGACGTTCTTCTATTGCCTTGTAAAAATCTTCAAAAGAGATTTCATTAGAAAACTACTTGGTTTGATTTGGGAGACCCGGTGATATCTTAACTCACACACAAAAATGTTAAATAATAAAAATGAATCATACTTTATTTGCTCCACCAAGCTACCTATTCAAACGATACTCAGCAGCTAAATTAAGGTTAAAACCAAAAAATTAATAAAGAAAAAATATAATACGTAACAAACAATGTGGTGTAAACTTACCATAATTATTGTGTCGTGCTAAATCACTTCGACTGATGATCAAATCATGATCTTCGTCTAGCTCCCAGAATTTACAATAAATAACATAGAAATGTTCATAAGAAAAATATTGTGTCACCAAATTAATATCATCTTCATTTTCAAGACTGGCTAACACAGGAAGAAAATTACTTCGTCTCAATTCACCTAAAGAAATACGACCAGACCATGAAATATTCACATTGAAGAAGATACGTGCTACAACGGTTGCCACATAACGGGAATGAAAATCTTTCGCTGCTTCTAAAAACGCTAAGCCAGGATGACTCTCTAAAATGTCCTGAATGAAAAAAGGAAAATTAAATAATCGACAAAGCTATGGAAAATAAGGTTATGTGCACCGAGGATAAGTTCAAATTTCATCATTTACTTTATTTCCATGTTCGTTAACTCAAACCAGTAAGTTATAATCTGACTCAGATTTAAATATACGTTCTTATGAATTTGAGGAAGTAATGCATTGTCCTACACTATAATAACACTGAAAATTTGACAAATATCCTAACATTGGAGTATCACACCGTTAAGTATACGTTAAAAGTAAATGCCTTTATATCACTGAGAGAAATTCATCATAATAACCGTTAAATATACTTCCCGCTAGATCTTCTGCAACACTTTATCCAAGAAAATGGACTAAACTTCATTTTTGAAACAATCTAATGAATTTTTCCGGGATGTAATTTTAATAAAAATCAGAAAAATTGAACATACACTGGATATCCATAGATTAACACAATAACGTATGGATTATGCATACCCAATAATCCAGATTGTTCCGATTCAGATGCGCAAGACAACTCAATGGGTGCAAAAAACAATACACATCACAATAGCACGATAAATAATTTTTGTTTATTATTAGTGAGCACCATGACTTCTTTAATGCCAATACTGAAAACCTTGAAATTACTGTGATCTCTCAACTAGTATACTACTAAGTTACAATGTAATCTTATAACGAATTTCAATCTCCAGTCTCTCCACAAGTAAAATAAGTCCAACACTACACACCTTTGCATATGGATTGACCACTGAATAGTGATCGGTTGTCATACTTGTCTAATTATTGGTGCTGGTTGAATCTTATCTACCAAGTAGTAATGTGGTCACCAGTCTAAATGGCTTAATATTGTATGCACTATGTTTTGATACAAAGTGATTATAAAGGCAATTAGCAAGAAAACCTAGATTTAGACTTTGTTCTAGTTGGGACTCATCAGTACATTCCACCTGTTGTCTTCGGATCGCACTCCGAACAGGTCAGTAGTGACGTCTCAGACTGTGGAGCTGAGTGATGCACTAGTACCTTCAAAACTTCGAGTACACTTTATGACAAGTGCCAATTGGAACACAACCTAGGTCAAAGGCATGTTGACAATCATCCCCAACCATTGTAAATATACCCTCTTTATCTGTACATTAGAATTATATATATAGTCAACTCCTCCAGTGTATATGTGTATATTTACAATAGTCATAACAATGAAAAACTGAATTATGAATCAAAAACTCATACTCTTCTTCTCTTTGTCAAAACTACTATGATGACAGAACAGTCCTAAATAAGGTTCTTTTCCAAAAAAATCTTACAGTAGATGATATTAAAAAGTGAGTACCCCTACCTCCGAAAGACAAAAAAGAACACATCTATCGTTCGCTCTTACTTGTATGAGTGTATTAAAATCAGATTGTACTAAAAAGGTAGCTCGTCCACGTGTAAGTAGATGAACAAATTTCGAAGCTTCATCTGGACAAGTATTCAGTGTACTGAAATAAAAAACAAAAATCGCACGGCATGATAAACCAAATTAGTAAAGGTCAATCGATAAATGGTGTACTGTTAGTAAGTTTTATAAATATATGTACTAGTTTTTTTCAAGTTTGACAAAAAATAGCAACCATGAAGGGGTGATTAAATTCTACAAAATGCCATGTGTGATATCAATCTTTTCACACACATGAGATATATAGATGGTTCATTTCACTTATCATTAATAACGATGATTTACAGCACAGGTGATGTGTTCATTGAGCTAAATGCATTGGTTTAAGGGCTTTCACTATCGTACTGGACAGTTTCATCAGCCACAGAAATATAATGAAAAATGAACATTTAAATTATCTCAAAGAATACACCACCAAAAGCTTCTACTAAATTTCAACTACAAAGTCTGTAAACTGTGTAATTTATTGTACATAATTAAACAAAGAAGACGTGGAAATAATGTCATTAGATTAACAAACTATTCATTTGAATAAATGACAACAGAGAATGGTGAAACTCGTTTAGCAAGCTTTTGTTCTTTTTGAAAACAAAATAATATAAAACAACAAAGTAGGTAGAAAAGAGTACTGTAGTATTATCTTTATTTCAATGTTTTAATCATACTCAAATATGACCCCTTCCAAACATCTTATAGATTGAGACCCATTTTATTTCCAATAAACAAGTGACCTGGATTTTTCAAAGCTTAGAGCACTTATTATTTCAGATGACTGTCTATTATGAATGTAACTCATTTGTAATTTACCCGTACGTTAATATACTCGGCTTCTAGCTACACTTTTAACTGTTTGAGTTAATAATTCTACATAGTCGATCGATCTAACAGTTAAAGGCTAAGTGTTATAAAACCACTAACTCACCACTTGAAGACAGAAAGTTATATGTTTTTCTAATCCGAAACTAGTCTAGATCACATCCAATAGCACATAGGTGTAATATTATTTAGGTCGAAAACTTGATTCCTATTCATATATCAAATTTTATTAAATCCGTTACTTACTTACGCCTGTTACTCCTCGTGAAGGAGCATAGGCTGTTCACCAGCATTCTCCATCCAACCATGTCCTGAGCAATCCTTCCCAGCTCCTTCCAGTCGTTATTCATCATTTTCATATCTGCTTCTATTTTCAGACGTAATGTGTTCTTTGGTCTTCCTATTTTCCGCTTCCCTTCAGGATTCCAAGTTAGGGCTTGCCTCGTGATGTAGTTTGATGATTTGCGTAATGTATGTCCTATCCATTTCCATCGTCTTTTCCTAATTTCCTCTTCAGATGGAAGCTGGTTTGTTCTCTCCCACAGAAGGCTGTTGTTGATGGTATCTGGCCGATGGATGCTGAGTATCTTGCGTAGACAACCATTTATAAATACTTGTACCTTCTTGATGGTGGTGGTTGTAGTTCTCCAAGTTCCAGCTCCATACAATAGAACTAACTGTCTTGACGTTTGTATTAAAGATTCTGACTTTGGTACTGGTTGACAGCTGTTTTGAGTTTCATATGTTCTTCAGTTGAAGGAATGCGGCGCTTGCTTTGCCAATCCTCGCCTTCTCGTCTGCATCTGAACCTCCTTGTTCATCGATGATGCTTCCCAGGTATGTGAAGGATTCTATATCTTTCAGAGTTTCGCCATCAAGAGTGATTGGATTGCTGTTCTCCGTTTTGAATTTGAGGACCTTGGTTTTCCCCTTGTATATTTGAGGCCTACTGATGCAGAGACTGCTGCTTAAACCCGTGATATAATTATATTATTTAACAAACATGATTGACAAGTATTGATTTCTCATTAACTAAATGATCAATCTCTGATACAACTTGATAATAAGAGGGACTAACTTGAAAATTGAATATTGATTGATTGTTTTTACATAGTTCCAGCTAATCGTAAAGTCAAATATTAAGTTTCTGGCTCATAAGTTGCATCATAAACGATTACCTAGGCTAGCAACCACTACATATAAACACATTTTCAATATAAGGTGAAACAGCAAAATACTAAAACGCTAGCCACGGTTTAAGGAAATTCGTTGTGAAAAATCCAATTTGAAATTATAATACACATGTAACAAAATAGGAATTATTTCAACAAAAATTTCCGACGGTGACGGTAAGAACAGACTCATCCTCAACGTTCGCATACGGCACAAAATCGATTAGTTTCCCCCTGATGGTCTCATTATATTGAAATAAAGAGCCAACTGAACAACACTACTACCCAAATTAACTATGTTCTTTTAAAATAAGTTGATAAAAAAATTTCAATCGCGACTATCCACTATTCTTAATCAGATCACCATCAAAAACCAGAAACCATTGAAGTTATTTCGTCCCAAAGGAGGACCCTTCAGCTGTACACATTCATGACCCATCGGGAATTAAACCCAGAAACTTCGGTAGTCTAGCTAAGATTATTTCGTGATATAAACTATGAAAACCCTACAACCTCTACAATCCTTTACTCTATACTAGTATTTAACTACATCAACACGTATTGAAAAGTATAAATGGCACTGTAAATAAACTATCTCAAACACGTGCACATGACGTAGGTTACAGTAATAATAACATGGAAACATTTATAAAATCAAGATAAATTGCTGTAAACAAACCAAGAAATTTAATGTAAATGAGTGTGTTCAATTGCGTATGTTGTTTGTGAATGTGTTTATTGTCAACAGAATATTGATTTCAAGAATGCAATGTTTTTTAATATGTAACAAGTAATAATTTCTTATCTCTCAAAAAACAAAAAAAAATATGTGAATAAGATTAAGGGAAATGTCGTTTTTCGTCCTCCAAATAAAAAAATCCTTTAACTTACTGAGACCATGATTTCAATAAGTTTGACAAGGTGACTGGTTGTCGATCTGGTGTACCACCAGCATTCATATAAATTGCATGTTTCCAATAAAGTGGACAATTAAGTACCTAGAAATATCAGGAACAAAATATGGATGTTTGTGATGATAGATGAGACCAAATAGGAATTATAGAATTCAAATATATAAACAGATATAGAAGCGCTTGATTACTAATTAACACTTGACATTATACTGTATTCCCTTGTAAAAGAAAAATATAAATTGTACAAGAGCGGTTAATTTTCTTGCTGACAAAGTATAATAACAATGTAACTAGTTTACTAAGTACATGTTTATGCCTATCCATTGATCATGATTATTATTATTATTATTAATGGCTTTATTCAATATTATATATTGGTACAATATAGAATTCTCAGCACAAGGTAATTCAACAAGTTTCTTTTACAAAAACAACAAAGACAAAAAAGAAAGGAAAAAATGTTTAAAAATAACTGAAAAGCTGTACAACATTCCAAATTAGAAACATGTTAATGATGCAGGTCATTGATTAGGTTAACTCTAGTAACCTGTTCGTCACAGAGTATATTCGCTAGGTAAGGTATTATAGAACTTTTATACTTTTGCTTGCGTGCATGGATTTTAATGTAATTACGTCTCGTTCTACCAGAAGATATACAAGGTGAAAAATAAGAATGAAGGGGATGGTTTGTACCTGATAAAATGACACATGCAAGGGAGTTGGCATGACTTTAGATGTCTATCCACATCAGCTAGTCTACATTTACTGACAAGCTCCGACGCAACAAATTATTTCATGAATTGATGCAATGTCTCATTTGCCCCCCCCCAACTGATTCTAATGCAGAACGTTTTCCTATGTTTGGGTAGATGGTGTATCAGTCAGTCAATCAGCTACAACGTAGGACCAGGCACATATATGCATCGGTCCAAGTTGCCATACCTCATTAACACAACAAGATGGACACCGGATTCATAAAAGTAGTTAATTCAGAGGCGGTAATATATAAAAGAAAGATCGCAATGAGGATATAGTACAGGAAGAAAGAATCAGTTCGTAGAAAGAAATATATGAAGCGATTTTAATCTCTTAGTTTAAGGGAAGATAGAGAGTGTATACACCGACGCCATTGTAATCGATTCTGAGCCATGCCACCAAGAGTCTCCAACCATTGGTTACGATAGTCACGCGGACCCCAACCACATAGTCTGCATCTACCACCATGGCTCAGACTACAAGTTAGTGACCTCAAGCACTGATGCCACGTTTTGGTTTGACCGCCCCTAACTTTCTTCCAACCATCTCCAACACCGGTTAGCATTGCACGTCGTGGTAATCGGTGTTCAGGCATACGTAACACGTGACCCAACCATCTCAGTCGATGAAGATTCACAACCTCATCAACTGATTTACCATCATTCCCTAATACCCTGCGTCTAACCTCACTATTACTTACCCGGTGATCCCAGCAGACGCCAGCAATATTTCTAAGACATCAGTGGTCAAATACTAGTAACTTACGAGTATCTTCTACTCTTAATGGCCATGTTTTGCTGCGGTAAAGTAAAACAGAACGAACTGATGCGCAGTATACTCGTCCCTTAATTGATAGACGGATATCTCACCTTCGCCATAGATGACGTGACTTGACAGAAGCCAAATGAGATTTTCGAATCCGTGCTGAGATTTCGTCAGACACCAACCCATTAGGGCTGATCAGACTTCCAAGATAAGTGAAGTTGTCAACGCGCTCGACTACTTCACTCCCTATCCTTAGTTCAGGTGTTGACGCAGACCAGTCCTGAGGCAGCAGCTTGCATTTAGAGGGAGAGAAGCGCATTCCACACACATATACACAAAACATATCCCACCAACCACGAGCGATAAAGATTCAGTTTCATCAACCAATTGATTGTATTTTCCTGGTGTTCTACTTTTAGCCTCAACGTTTCTTAAAATAGTTTTATCATAAGCCCCCAAATACCCTGGTACGGCCGAGAGTGGAGAGAGTCAACCCTCTCTCTGTCGAAATGTTGTCATATGACCACGTGCATACAACCACTGTCAGGGAAGTCCTACTCACTGCCTTCTCGTGGCGGTGTTGTTTACGAAATTGAGAAGACGAAAAGCGAATGTCCGGTGCTTCAACCGGGTTGGCAGATACGGAGAGTCCACCTAGGGGAGTTGGAAAAACCTAATTTCAAACCAATGGTGCACATGGGCTCAAGAATCCTGAGGGAACAATTGGTGTATTAACCAATCGTTGGTCACCGGCTATCATGAGACTGCATCTCCTTACATTGCTCCACTGCCTTGTGGATTAGACCTCTAGATCAAAGGCTAGGGGTGTGGCCCCTTGAGAAAACCACCTGCTTCGATTTGGTTCCCCGGGGAGTATTATAGCCCACAAACAAATCAAGAGACTTGTGTAGCACATATCTATTCGGTGCCCCTTCGTACTAATATTTATGTGTTTAAATAATAACAATAACAATAATAATAATTTGAAGACAGCTATGACTAAAAACGTGAAATCTGTCAATCTCATCAGTTTTTATTAATTATATTTCAAAGAGAGGAGTGCTTTGCAGCATACCTACCTTTCGATATTCAGATGGATATCTTACTTGCTCTCAAGATCTATGTCGGAATTTCATAGGTGAACAACTAAATAAAGACGATGCGATTTTTAATATACGCAAAGTGGTCAACATAATCCGTCACTAAACTCTCTACAGTCAAACTAGGCGATGATAAACTATAACAACACCAGAGAAAGAATACCATCAGTCAGTCATGACAGTAATAATTTAAAATAAGACGTTAATTATTGTGTTTTCAGTTGTTTTATTCACTATCAAATAATAGGCTTTATAGTTACATGGTAAAATAGAATATATAATACCATAATGGTTCTACACTTGCCCAGTGAGTGACGATTAGGTTAACTGTCAATATTACAATTATTAGACAATAAAGCAATGAATGTTTTCAATCAGTATTCAAAGTCAAATGAATAACATAAAATAAATAAAATAATGCTATTCAAGTCTATTTCTCTTCTCTATATAAAAAAGCATGAACTGAGGAATATGGAGAAGGTTTACTAAACTGAAGCAGAAGCACGGAGATGAGAGGTGGTTACATTTTCCATTAAAACAAAAAATGAACTATGAGGGTTTGTGAAAATTACTGAATTTTAATAGTTTACATTACGGACTGATTTTAATACAACAACCGTTATAAACTAGGGAACACTGGAGAGCAGTTTTTTCCTATCATAAGACTACGTAGTATTGCGCATCCACGGCCTGTTAAAATATGGGATTAAACCCCAAACCAATCACGGAGAGTATGCATGCATACAAATAATGAGTCTTATACTAGGACAAAGCAGCTGTGCAGTGCTTCCTGCTTTACAATCCTTGACTAATTAAGATCAGTCCGTGGTGGAAACCGTGAACAGACTATCAATCACTGTCGTAAAAGTTGAGTTTCAACTAAAATAACAATTCTTTAGTCGATAACAAAAAGCTTTTGAACAGGAAGCCAATAAACAAATTAATTAATTTTAAAAGTGATATTAGCTAATCAGGATTCTACAGAAAACTCAATGTGTAAAATTAGTAATAAAAAAGAAAAGAGAAAAATATATTTATACATGAAATCGAAACTTTGTTTTCAAAAAGCCATTCGTACCTTTGCAACTTGTCCAAAACATGAATGAGAAATTAACGGATCAGAATATTTCCCAGAATTTAGTGATGAATCAATAAATTGGTTAAGTTCTTGTTTAACACGTTCTAATTCTGTGTTAATTTCCTCATTAGACATTCGAGTAGTCCCAAGTGGGAAATGAAATGCTGGCAATGCTTTATGTATTCGAGTTGGAGAAGAAGGAATAGCAAATCCTTTGTTTTGCACACATGAAGTAGAATCCATAGACGATGGATAAGTATAATCTGTATGATTAGGTACATTTGCCTTACTTATTAAAGATGTGACATCTTCATGAACACCGTCAGAATTAAAAAGACTTTTCAATTGTGAGGAATGAATACGATAGTGTTTATTAACTTCATGATAATTATCATGAGATTGTTGATGTGCGACTACATCAACATCTGGCTTATTACTTTCAGCAGGACAATTATATGCTGATGGTGTTGAAGCAACGGTAGGAGTGTGTTGTTTTGATCCAATCCCATCATTTGTTCGTAGAGGAGTTGTTTTATTTGTTCTAATTTTGCTTATATCATCAGTGTCTGCATCATGATTTAAAAGTTTATTAGTAGCAGTGGTATTATTAGTCTGGGATGAATGTTTTGTTCCATTATCTACACTTAGTTGATTTTCAGAGTTTGGTGTAACTTTTGGACAAATAGTTATTACTCCATTCTCTTGTTTGGATTTGTTTTCATGTGTTACATCATTTGCGGTATGTGATTGTTCAACAGAGCTCTAGAAAATAAAACAGTAGAATAAAATTAACTAGTGTCTGAAAAGAACTGGCAGGTTATGACAATTTCTCACAGATAAAATGATTTTCAACACTTTTTACAATGTAAACTTAGGAAGTGAAACACTGAATCAAAGCATACACAGGTCCGCGTATTCAATAGTTTAAAAGGGATCAACATTCCATCGAAATTACTACAATCTTAGCAAAACAAACTATCAAGTTCCCAATCAATAATGTTAAAGCTGAAAAACAATCAGACTTATATGACATTTTATTCTCTAATTAATTTATTAAAGCTACAGTTTTTTTTAGGGATACTAGTCATAAGCGTTTACTTCAGAAAATAGTAAAATCACTATCTTTTTAAGAATAAAAGTATGAGAACGTGTAATTTATTAACATCGCTTAAAGCGAATAATGAATTTGAAAAAGGGGAAGTAAACGAAAGTCAAATACACTGATCGTTGAATTTTAAGTAAAAAGAACATAATAACATGTTATTCAACAGTAGACGAGATGAAAATTGTGTTTTATGAAAAAGTGTTTAGTTTCGCAAAACAAAACAAGTGTGTAATATTAAATGCACTAATTCCATAAAACTGAAATAATAACGTAAAAACTGACATAAATGTATAATATTTTAAAGTAACCTATGCTTACCGTCCCCACACAGAAATAAAAAATTAAGAGGAAGAAAATTGGATTAAGCTACTATTACTACTATACTAAGAGGAAATAACTGTCCAGTAATTCTTGATTTTCAAAAGTTATCTAACCGCAGTCCGTGATATAAACTATGGAATTCAACAATCTTCACAAACCTAAATCAATAAAGTCATAGTGTTGACAGTATTACCCTGTCGAAAATAGTAAAAAAGCATCATAAAGAACAAGCGCAATTCAAGATTTAGAGGAATAGAAAAGATGAACACACAACCATGAACTACTACCACAAACCTCGCTTGGTTTACATAACTTCGATTAAACAGCCAAGATGTTTGGTGAGCCCAGAAAGATACTGTTCACCACCCTAGATGAATCAGTGTTTAAGACACTAAAATTTTAGCAACTAAGTAGTAGATTCAAAATATACACCTACCATCAAGGACTGAATTCCGCAACTCAAGGGTGAAAATCGGTGGAATCCTGCTCCTTATGTTAAAGTTCTAGTATCGCTTCTGCTCTATATAAGGAGTGCATTTGTAAAATTGAGGCAAGTCACAGTTGTCCCTATTCGAGACTTCAGTAACCACTATGTAACCAAAGGGGTAACGCTTGTAGTTTCGGCCATTATGTTAAGCCCATATACCGTATTCTAGCTTCTGGACAGGCCAATCTATTCATTTTACTTGAGTCGCATTTTGACCTTGTTAATTATTCGCTTATCAATCTTCACTATTGTTATACGAGCATGTATGTGTACACTTCTTATCCCATCCATCACATGTCTGTAGCGTAATTTTGTGTGACTATAAATATTGATTAATGCTTGACTAAATGGAGTTGGCTCACGAGCCTTCTCCACTGCGCGTTATCTTGCCTTACTCTCTTCTCTTCGCTTCTCCGATATTTTGTCTGGATCAAAGATTGTATGAAATATACGAGGAAATAGGAGACAAATATTTCGACAGCATTCATTCAACAACGAACATCCATACGATCTAATTAGAGTCACACCCCGGGCCACTAAGCGCTCATAAATCATTAGATGCGGTAGAGGCCTCGCATCATTTCGCTGCTGATTGAAGAACTATGCATTTGTTAAGTCACGAAAACATGCCCTATCAAAGAGTACTAACACGCAAAAGACAAAGGTTTATATAGAATTTCTGTCGATTAAGGAATAACAGTATCGTCAACTTCTATCGCTTGTATGGTAAACATAAAATTAAGTGAAGACAAAACGCAAGAAAAAAACTCACTTTTGTAAATTAGTGAAATTACATATAGTAGATTAAAGAAAATATTTAAAACATGAAGTGAGGTAGTAGTAGTCAGTCATCCACTCTATCTTACTACTACACAGAAAACCAATCGATAAATGTAAGGTTAATGAATAGAAAGGAATTTACTGACAATATCCAGCTGCGTTTTATGTATATTTTTTCTGTGCATTCGTGCATATATGTGTGGTGACAATCACATAATATTTCTGAAATGAATGCGTGCTACAACTATGATATAGCAACTTCAAATTGATTAAAAGATTATCATTACCATTATTATTATTATTATTATTATTATTATTATTATTATTATTATTATTAATTAGTTCACATAAAATAATTTTAACAATGGAAGAGTAGTGAAATAAGACACAGGGCACCTACGAATATAATTTAGCTTAGGGAGAGACCAGGTTTCATAAAAGCAGAAAAAACCGCTTGCGTTGTAAAGCCGTACGTTCGACTTCCTATGACCAGACTAGAGTCGCAACGATTCCTAAAAGCTTTTTAAAACCTTGTATTTACAGTCACTAAAACAAAACTGCTATATTAGAGCTAAATATCTTAGTTGATAATAACACGACCAAAACATTAGTTCAAGCTTACTCTCAAGTCGTACAAGCCATCTGATTACTTAAGCTGCTCTAATGGAGATAACAGTTCAAACTACGATATCAACATACATGAAGGTCTGAACTCTATTTTTCGAAATGACACATCACAGAAGAAATAAGATATTGGTATAAAAAAAAATTTTTTTTAAATACAAGAAATTCACCTACATATATCACCTATACAGTAGTAGCCAGACATCGAACGCGTAAAATGTTTAACTTGGTGGATTTTTTAGTATTTTGAAATATATAATGTGTAAACTAGAAAATAAACAGTTCTAAATGTCAAAAATGAAGTGCAGTAAATAAACGTACAAAAATATCTGTTTAGAACACATAAACAATAATTCAACAACAAAAAAACTTGTTACATTTATTTTACGGAATCCAAAATCGAATTCTCTAAGCCAAGTATAAGCGTTTCTATTTAATCAAGATTTACTATCGCCGTAAACAGTATAATTACTTTATATAAATAAAAAATGTTTCTTTCGTTAAAGTTATCATCATATAAATCCTTTGAAGTCAACCGAACAATTTGTTCGTAGATAAGTAAAAGGCTATAAGTTTTCATTTTGTCGACACTTTCTGTAGATTACCCTAGATATTGAACACTAAAAACAAGACAAAATGTTGGTCAGAAGATTTTAATTAATCCAGATGACCAGGAAACGTTCCAATGAATTTTTTAAATATCCATATGATAACACTTAAGCTTCTGCCTAAATAATTCGGTTATGGTTAATATTTTTTATGAAGATTAGTGGCTAGTTCTACTCGTCAATTTTGTGCCTCCGAACGTTCATATGCAATATGACATAGTCACACAATCAGCAACTTTATTTTGAGGAAGAAAAATCAGTCAAAAGATTATCAGGCAAGGTAAAGACTAAAAATTTAACTCAGTTAATAAAAAGAAAAAAAGATGAAACGACAGAAAAGCTTGGAACTAAACACAAACTACATTTATTCGTTCTTTGAAAGTTTATACCGATAGTAAATTATGGCGATTACCAACGCTTGAATCTATCCTATTCAGTTTGTACACATGAAGTCTACTAAATCTTTCATTAGTAAAATCTTCCCGATTATGCTATAATTCTGTGAAAGTAGAATCAAATCCTCGCTATATCAAAACATGGTAAGATACATGTGAGCCGTATACAAATTAGTTTAAATGAGATAACTTGATTTTTCCGATCAAATTATTATACCTGAACCCAGTTTATTTGTTTTTTCTCACAAACTAACAATGTTATTAGGTTTCATAACAAGCAAATTATACAGTTTGCTTAAGATACCATTGAAAAAAAAAGATTTGTTTCCATTCATCCAAGTCATCCTCATACTTCACAAACAACATGAATGGAATCCACAAAAATAAGTACTGAAAACTAACCAACTAATTATATTAACAGTAGCAGAGAAATTAAAAGATAATAATGATCAGGAAAACAATTGTAGAAGCAACTGAAACCAGTCTAAAAATATTACATCAGTAAAAGTTTAAAGTTATTGAGTTTGGAATATTTAATCAAGAAAGTATTTCACAAAAATTGAATTAACAAATGACACCTTCAAAAACATGACAATCACCGCTACTTTTAAAAATTGTATTACACATTGGCCATCTTACAAGACAGACTGACAGAAATCAAGACAGAGCGTAGCACAGATGTGATTTATGCTAAGTTACCACACTAGATAAGTACGACCAGATGCAAAACACAAAAGAGATCGTAGTAGCAGTGATGATGTGAAAGACTGAACATTAAGAATATGATGGGAATGAAGAGGTATGAGTATGAAGAAATACTAAAACTCAAGATCTAGAGAAAGACAAAAAAAAAGAATGCATCTGTGCGTTTGTGACCTATTCGGATCCATGTCAGATTCTCCAAACACTGGTCGCGGTCATAGAATGGGCTCCCAACAGGTAGTCCATATCTGCCAGTATGGTTCACACCAAGTTAGTGACTTCATGGAATAATCCTGTTTTGGTTTGGCTGGCCCTAGCTACCTCACAACCTACGCTAGCAAACATCTCTCGTCGAGGTAAGTGATGTTTAGGCAAATGTCGCAAATGTTCTTACTACTTCAGTCGATGAATATCCAATACCTCACCAACCGACTTGTCGCTTTTCGCAAGTACCCAATGCTTAACCTCAACATTGCTCACTGGGTCATTCCATGAGACGCAAGCAATGCCGCAAAGACATCTGTGATCAAAAACCTTCATTTTACTCACGTCATTTACTTTCAACGGTCACTAACCGTGGTAAACAGTTGAACAGAGTACTATACAAAGCGTATATCATATTAAACGTAAATTAACAAACTCGGTTACCACCTTTGCATAATCTATCCAAATCCAAATTTTGATGAAATCAATGTGTTTTAGCTAGTCAATAGGAGGGAAATACTGTAACCGATAAATGAAACATAAAAAGAGAAGAAAATAAGACAAGGAATAATACCACTAAAATAAAATGAAACTATTTCGATACATTTAGAACTTAGTATAACCAAAAAAGGAGTGAAACAACACAAAACTAGTTATAAATATTTGCTTACTTCACTATTATATTCAGTTCGTAAGGAATCCGTATGCGATGATGATAAATTATTCTCACAAACAGTTATATCATCATGAGATTTATCTGTTAATGCCTCTTGAATAGACAAATTAAAATGAGGCTTATCGGATTCATTGTTATCAGATTTTGCTAAATCAATGTCTTTTTCACTAATCTCAATTGATGGTAGTCGATTTTCGACAATATTCCCATCTGGTGGGACTGATGGTGTTATATCAGTAGTAGCTAAAGACGGAGAAGAGGGTGAAGTCGGAGTAATAGTTGCAGATGCCGTACTACTAATCTTTTCAACCAGTCCAAATTTAGAATCTAGTGGTTTTGAACGTTGTACAGGGTGAAAATGATGAACAGTTGTAGATGTGGTTGTCTTGACTGGAGTAGATGAGGTTGAAGAAGTTGGAGATGAAGCAGGAGGATATGAAGATCTAGCGATATGAGCGGCATGTACAGGGTGATTAGGGCTAGCTGCAGGAAGTGGTAAATCTGGTGGTCCCCAAGACAAATGAGCAGGAGATACTGCTCCGTGAGTATCATTATTGGCCAGAACAGAATGAGCGCCAGTAGGAATAGACTTACTGGTAGCACCAAATATCTCTGATGCTGGAACACAATGACTCATGTGCACACCTGCAGGACAAAACCTAGAGGTTGCACGCTCGCCACCAGACGGACTTATTAAAGGTGTGACAGCATTTGTGGTTAACGTGGCTTTAGGACAACGCTGACAAGCATGAACTGCACGTTGCCATGCCAGATCAACAGAACACGTCTGATAAACCTGAACACGTGAAATAAGGACCAAACTGGGTGTTCCGACAAGAACGGGCATGATAATGGTTCAAATGAAATGTAAATGTGAAATCCGCATAAAAACGTCTGATTAAACACTATCCAATATACACTAGATTTTATATTGAATATAAATCATCTTCTGAATGTCTACGGAAACAGTAATTGAATATCCCAACTTGATTTTAAAGGTCCAGTTAGTAATGGTAATCTGATATTGATTATAAAAACTATTCCGTCAAAGAACATATTTGAATCACAGAATATTTTCATGTAACAGTAAACTATACACGACAATAAATAACGATACACCTCCACGTTTTGTTGAATAAAATAAAATGTGAATGTAAAAATAAAAATCGAATGTAATCGATCCAGAAGTAAGACATGCAATACAAACGCATCCAAAGAATGTGAAAGGCACAGTTTTAGTGAACCACTACTACTGATTGACTGCATGACTGACAAAAACCCAGACATATATAAATATACATATGTAAATACACACACACAATAGTGTTATGGCCACAGAGGAGGCAATGCTTACACACACGATAGGTCGATCACAGGGTCACATAAAAAGCTCGGATAACTAATGCACGCATACAGTATATTAGAATCTATCCATTTATCATCACATTTTTTACCCCAATGAATGAATTGATTTACCAACCAAACGATAGGAAAAAATCTATAGGTAAACCAATTAAATAAAACACCATAGGAACGCACTCCATAAATACTAATGTAATGGTATCGCGTTCAGATTAAGATATTTTTCGTCTAAGTTAGTGTGAAATAGATGAAAAACCATAAATAACGGTATATATATTCTGTTAAATTAAACTGTAGTCAAAATTGTGTGTTTGAATAAAAATCGATGCCTGGTGAGAAAAAAAAGGACTTTAGTTTTCGTATGCATACACATACATACAACGCACTTGGAAACTTGACAATTGCTAACCTGTGTAAACAATAGGCTGCTAAGTACACACATTGGACTGCTACTACTGCTACAACCGAACAAGAGTAGTTTCATATCGCTTATATGTCACTTGAATGCTGGTGACTAACTAACTGTTCAATTAGTTCAATAAATAGAAGAGCTGCGGGTGGTCTGTTGACGAATTGCTTGTATTCTAACTTCAGTACCAAAAGCGGTGTGCCATAGAGTTTCAATAGCAAGTTGAAGAGTAATTGGTAAAAATGTAGTTTTCATTGAAACCATGGACCGATCAATGCTAGATCACCATTGAAGACCGTGTCGAGTGTCAGGTAGTTACCCATCGAAGACAATCGAAGATAGTCGTGCTGTAACGTGGATTGATTGAAGTTGGATGCCGACTCGGTGGTCTAAAAGTCAAGCGTTCACGCGAGAATGAGGGTCCTGGGACCAGGTCTCGCATGCGGGATCGTCGACGCGTACTTCTGAGGAGTCCCATACTAGGACGAAATGGTCGTCCGGTACTGCCAGGTTTTCAATGGTGATCTCATATTGATCGGTTTATGATCACAACAAAAACTCAACAATCTCCTTAACCCTATACTAATAAAAATGTATTTAGCTGCCTAATTAGTATATTGAAAAAATCACTCAATATATATTCGGAGTGACTATAATTTATGATGTAGTATTTCTGATGTAGTATAGCGCCTTACGGATTTCGGTGCAAAAATGTATTCAAACATATTGTTCAACAGCATTTTGATATTATGGCCGATGTAAGTTAGTGAAGAGAAAGTTAACTCTAATCTCCTGACCCTAACTTTCAACTCTAATACCTAACCGCAATTCCTCACACTAATTTATAACTCTGTTTTAACACCAGCAAGCGGTTGAAGTTTCTCAATACCACCTCAGTTTCACACAAAGGTCGTCTATTTTGTTAATTCACACTGAAGATTTAGAACTAGACCAATCATAACCCCAATTCTTAGTAAGCAAGAGAGAGCAGAAAAAAGACTTACCTATTATAGTTTTGGGACTCGATTGCTAAACAACATACACTGTTTATTATATGAATTCCTAAGATGTACTGGATATGCACGAAAATATTGATTTTTCTTAAAAACAATGTACTGCAATATAACACATAAAAACAACAAAAATGTGCAGCTATATTTTAATAGTTTGAGGATTCTTTCAGACAGTTATGAGCAACATAGAATAATGGAACATATATATATTAGCCTGAATTGCTAGACCACGTCAGTGCAATGAGATTCACCATCCAAACTCATTTTATTATACAGCTAAATCTTTACAAATGAGTAATAATGGTTATTTCTATCAGAATTAGGTGCATCTCTGATACAATGGAAAAGAACTAGGCCTAAGAATAAGTTAGGTGTCTTAACTGATTGGAGAGTGATTGATCTACAGGCTAACTTCTTCCGGTCGCCTATGAAGTTTATTTTGTACATAAATCTGTCAGTTTATAACATAAAAAATTGATTTCTCTGTGATGTTAACCAATACATCTTCCATTTTACAAGCCTTCTCTTCTCACTATTCCATCCTGTAGGGAATAACTATCAAAGAGTTGTGTATTAGTCACTGAACCTATCCATTTAGCATAGATTTCGTTCCATATTAGAAGAATCTCTTAATCATGCGCAATCCCAATTCACGACAACCTCAGCACATAAGGAATTTTGTTTACATATTCGTTATCGAGATTTTTCTAATAAAATGAAGCAGAAAGCGACAACTCTAACACTGACTAACTGAATTACTGACAATTCAGCGTAAGAACCATCATCGATAGTATACAAAAGATAGATAACAAGAGGGTTGTATTAAGGCGATAGATAAAATGAATCGAACATATTATAAAAAATTACTTCAGTAAAAAATAAGAGATGAAATAATGATAAACTTGAAAGGTAGTTGACGTAATACACATTAAAGTAGTCTTCCCTACACTCCTAACACTTATTGTTTCAATCACTCACTTAAACCCGGGATAATTTAAGGAAAAGCATAGACGAGAACAAGACAATGTAACACATAGGACTGTTTGAGTCGAAATAAACAGTAATAACTAAAGGAAATAGTCAAGAAATTGCTTTGAGCTTTTTTTAACGATAATTATTACGTCGTTAACTTTGCATATCTGATTTTTAGAGTTTATACAATCATTTGAAAATGTTGTGTATCAATCCCAATACGTCCCTCTGAAGCCTCAATCTCAAATAAGTATTCAAACCAATCTATGAATGGACATATATGCAATGAGTTCAACTAGACAAGAAAGTCCCAAATCAATAAATAGCAATTGTTATAATGAAATTCTTAAATATAAACTAGGTGTTGAGATCTATTGATACAAACGAACCGACTAAAAAACAGATATGATGCGGTTCGAACTTACGACTTAATGGCTAAAAAACAAATATTTTAACTACTACACTACTACCACTATTAACACTAATAATGGTAATAACAATTGGTATTATAAGATCAGTAGATAGGAAGCAAATGGTGTATTTTTTCCCTAAAAGATTACATACCTCTCAGTTTATAGTTACTACTTTGAAGAAGTGATCGCATTTCCTTAAAGATTGTGTTGATCATCAAGGCTGACGTAACTTCAATCGTTTTCATTACGAAAAAAGTTGATAATATGAACTAGAACTGTAATGTCTGGGTTTTCTACAGCGTTAAGATTTAATCAATTAATTAAATTGTTAATAATAGTGAAAAACAAACTAGAATCATGTTGGAACTAGTTTTTACGAGCTCTTTAGCAACTGCCTCTTTGTGGACATATTAAGAATTTATAAACATTCAAAGTTTTTGAACGCCAAAATGTTAAGGATTACTGAAACCTACAAGTCACTGTTCATCAAATAGTGAGTGTTCTTTGGTGGAGATTGGATCCTATTGATTATATAGTAACATTTTATTTAGACTCAAGTTATTTCATGAAGGTTCCAATCCCATAGGAAGTATACGTTCCGTCAAGATTGCGGCTAACTTTTACCGACGGGTACCGACCAGTACGCAACTTAAGTTCAGGATTTCTTGACAACTACTACCAATCACCTAACATTATTCATAATTCTCAACCAAACGATTCTTAATAGAAATAAACCATTAATTGCTTCACTAATGCAGACTGTGAGAACTAATAATTAATTAGTGTTTAAAAAGATGTGAACTTAGACGCTCAAAAAGATGATTTATTGATTGGTCAATTGAGTATTGTTTAACATAATGTTAGGTTTTAGGGTTGAACGAATTCCATCGATCAAGCTGCAATATGACCAATTATTAGTTTAAATGATCGACATTATGGTGCACTGTATCTTGATTTTAGGTAGTCGAAGACGATGAGAAATAAATTCTGAATTCAGATATTATACGGATTGTACAATGCTTTCTTATGTTACCCATTGTTTGAGGGCGAGACGTAACCACTAAATTTGTAAAACAAAGTTTAAAAAGTTAACGACTATATACCATCAATGAAGTAAAATATTTATATAGCTGGTAATTACAGGCTAATCAAATAAACGATGTATTACACCAAATACAACTCAAAGATGACGAATTATGCGTTCAGGGTTTTAATACAAAGTTATGGCTACAAAATAGGAAACTTCCCACAGATATTAATGAAGCACACCTCACTGATCTGTACCGACTTTTCCCTGTTATTTAATGATCGCTATCTGGTTATTTCGAATGCTTTACGTTGAGTGTTGCTATGAGATGTATCATTGTGACTTGGTGAGTTGCTCTTGTGTTCACACTTTATAACACTTCAGATATGTTTAACTGATCAAAAACAAATTAGTATAAGTGATAAAGTGATGATCAGTAATCATTTATAAACATGTATCAATTGTAAATAAAAATATGATTACGGCATGATACAATATATTTATTTTTACATCAACCGCTTACACTTAAAAGCGAGAACGTAGTAGATGAAATGCGTCTACCAAATACACGCTAATCTAACTTTAAGATAGATTTTGTTAAACAATATTTTGAATTATCAAAACTGTTGTTCTTTTATCTCTTAATATGATTTGACCAACACATTACTGGTAAGTTTAAGCAGATCATTGATAAACGTAATTCTTAGAGGAAAACTCAACTTTCAACTTTCTTCGCTATAAACTCAGTCCAAACGAAAATAAAACCTTATCACAAGTGAAATAAACATTTATATGTACTCCTTTTTACTTCCAACTAATAGGAGAATATAATCCTAACCTAGCATGAGTGAGACAAAACAGCAAAATACGTTTGAAATTTAGATTACTTTTACCTGCAAGTACAGTAAGAAAATATATTTTAGTGGAAATAATACAGAATTCATTATTATTTAATATAAAGAAAAAGAGAACAGTCAAACGGAGAGAATTCACAGCCAAAAATATATACAGCACAAGAAATATTGCACATAATTCTAAATTTCC